TATGCCAAGCAGCTCTGCCTTCCCTTTTCTTACCACCCCCAAAATCCCTGATTTATAGCACTTGCCTATTTCTGGGGTGTCAGTCCTGCCACCACAGCTGATTTCAAGCTACCAAAGTGACCTCACTGAATGAAGAGTTGGGAGGAGGTACACATAAGTGTCTCTCAGGAGCTGCAAGGAGCTGACTCCAAGAGAGGTCTCACCTTTTAGAATTCTTAGCCATCACTCTGAGGAAATTAGGATATATGGCAGTTACCGACATCTCTTAAATTATTTTCTCTGAGCTACCACATTGGGAAAGACATTGACAAACTGTTACCTCAGAAATGGAGAACACTCATTTCAAGGACCAGATCAGCCATCCTTTCAATTTTATCTTATCTAAAAGGCAAATTATGCTTATCGTTGCAAAGCTTTAAAAGTTTAAAAGCTTTGGCAGCCGCGCTCTGAAACCATGCCTTGCTCCACGAAGCTATTCCTGTTTCTCTATAAAATGCAATGTGACCCTGATTTCCCAGAATAGATTGGGTTGTTTAATACTGAAAAAAAAAGAGAGAGAGAGAGAAAAAGAGATGGCTTAAAGAATTGGTGAAAATTACAAGTCTAAATACAAAAATCCTAGAAAAAATAATCCATTTGAGTTTCAAGAGCTATATTTTTGGGGTTAAAGAATTAACAGTGTGTAAGTCAATTTTGTTTTTTCAATATGCTCCTGAATATGTAAGTTGCTGTTACTTTTTTTTCTTCTCCTTCCTTCATGCCCCCAAACTCTCCCTTAAATGACTTTTTTATAAAAAATTGAAACATATTTTATTAGGTTATATTTATCAAATAGTTTGCCTCGTCTTCTGATTTAGATTTTTTCCCTTAAGGATTAGCTGCTTAAATGTTAAAATCAATGAAGTGATAATTCCCTAAAGCTATCAGATTGGATAAAAATGTTTCTTTCCTTTGAAATTCCTCAGTATATCTAATAACAGTGATAGCTGCATGGCAGGATGATGGTAAGTTTTATCAAGTAATAAAATCATGGACAAGAATCAGGCTCACAGACAGCTCCACTATTTGGGACGAGTCAGGGGGCAATATTCTGGGTAAATTGATTTAAATTTCCTCCTATGACCTCTGAAACTATAGTCTTTGCTCCTTCCATTTGTAGTTTGTTTATTTGTCAAATTCCTACTAGTACCAAGCACTGGGCATGAAAATATAAGGTGCTGTCCTCAAGAAACCAACACTCCAGCCAGATCAGCTGAGTTCTGGAGCAGGTGATGTGTCTCTACCATCTGTTCTTCGGGCGTCCAGAAGGGTAAGTGATTAATTTTCTTGGGTTGGATAACAAGTGAACAGGAGAAATGGTATAGGCTGTTTTTGCTTGCCTTCCAACTCTTATCCCCACTCATAAACTGGTATTTTTCTGGAGCAGGTTTCTTTTCTTTTTTTTTTTTATTCTTATGTTAATCCCCATACATTACATCATTAGTTTTAGATGTAGTGCTCCATGATTCATTGTTTGTGCATAACACCCAGTGCTCCATGCAGAACGTGCCCTCCTCAATACCCATCACCAGGCTAACCCATCCTCCCACCCCCCTCCCCTCTAGAACCCTCAGTTTGTTTTTCAGAGTCCATCGTCTCTCATGGTTCGTCTACCCCTCCGATTTCCCCCGCTTCATTCTTCCCCTCCTGCTACCTTCTTCTTCTTTTTCTTTTTTTTTTCTTAACATATATTGCATTATTTGTTTCAGAGGTACAGATCTGAGATTCAACAGTCTTGCACAATTCACAGCGCTTACCAGAGCACATACCCTCCCCAGTGTCTATCACCCAGTCACCCCATCCCTCCCACCCCACCCCCTACTCCAGCAACCCTCAGTTTATTTCCTGTGATTAAGAATTCCTCATATCAATGAGGTCATATGATACATGTCTTTCTCTGTGTGACTTATTTCGCTCAGCATAATACCCTCCAGTTCTATCCACGTCGTTGCAAATGGCAAGATCTCATTCCTTTTGATGGCTGCATAATATTCCATTGTATATATATACCACATCTTCTTTATCCATTCATCTGTGAATGGACATCTTGGCTCTTTCCACAGTTTGGCCATTGTAGACATTGCTGCTATAAACATCGGGGTGCACGTACCCTTTCGGATCCCTACATTTGTCTCTGGGGTAAATACCCAGTAGAGCAATTGCTGGGTCATAGGGTAGCTCTATTTTCAACTTTTTGGGGAACCTCCATACTGTTTTCCAGAGTGGCTGCACCAGCTTGCATTCCCACCAACAGTGTAGGAGGGTTCCCCTTTCCTGGAGCAGGTTTCTTACTGCTTATCCCAGGGAAAGTTATTTAATCTTGCTGAGACTCAGCTTTCTATTCTGTAAGATGAGGAAGATAATATCTACCATACGGCTTGTGATGCAGATTAAGTAAAATAATGAATACAAACTACCTGGCAGATAGTAAGTGCTCAGAACAACACATGACAATAATGATAACAACTATCACTTATTGTTATTGCAAAAAACAGTAATGTACTTGAATGCCTTAAAAGTTGCTCATGTCGGAAGAAAATACTAGGAAACTAACTCACAAAATTGATAGTGAACTCTTGAAAGAGGAAGTTGACATGAATTTTGCCCACAAAACATAAAATGATCATTTATAAAGGAGAACTGATGAAGCCAGTCATTTGGTGATCTCTGCTGCTTCAAACATCTTCTCTACAAGAGAAAGACTCAGGTAAGGTCAGCCATTTAAATACAGTCTGTCAGGCGTCCCCAGTTAGTCTAGCGTCCCTGCTGGTGAGCAACCGGAACTGAACCAGAACCAGGAGCCGCCCCTTCTTGAATCCCTTCAAGTGTCACCTAACCTATCACTCAGTTCTGTTGATTCTCCCTCCTTATGATCCCCTAAGCCTCTCCCTTTCGGCTCATCCCTTGGATTACTACTGCAGCTGCATGAATGAATTTGCTTCCAGCAATGCCTCCAATTCAGATTAATTATTTTTTGAGAGACTGTTGTTTTTCACAGCAAATGCTGAATCATTTATCGCCCATGAACTCACTTAACTCAATCTTTATGATCTACAATATCATTTACTGCTCACGTATACAGTTTTTGGAATCAAATAACCAGAGTTTATGTTTTGGCCCTGCCATATACTAGCTGTGTGACCTGGATCAGTGTCTTAATTTCTTGAAGCCTAATTTCTAATGTTTAAAATGGGCAAAATAGTACTTCTTTCCCTCACAGAGCTGTTAGAGCAACAGCACCCATGCCCTGACTTGCACTCAGTTAGCAGTCAGTAAATGTCAGTACTGCTGTTATCTATCACACAAATGGTCAGAAACACATAGGCTGCTTCTAGTCACTATTTACCTGTCACCTGTCAGTGTCAACATTTACAAATTAACCTTAGCAGAATGAACTGTAATCGTAAACATTTTGACTGAAAGGTAGTTTATAAAGAATTATAGCACCCTGAGAATTTAAAAACCTTCTGGAGAGCTTATCTACTTAATCAAAGCTTTAGGAAGTGTTAAAACAACAACAAACAGGATGAATCTTGTATAATGGACTCTGAGAATCCACAAGTAAAAATTTCTCACAAGGCGTAAGAGGAAAAACCAAACAGACTACAAGATCCAAATGGAATGCACTGAAAAACAGCCAGAGAACTTTAGGAAAATAGAAGTATATTTTTAAATGGAAAGAAGAGAGAGAAGCCTTAGAACCAATCCAAGGGTTCCAAACTCTACTGTCTCTATGGCCAGATGAGGAACATAGTGAATGAAGCCTGCAGAGTAAAAATCAGAAAGGCAGCCTTGGAAGGTCTTGGCCATCCAGTCCTGGCCTATTGTGTCCATGTGGGATTAAGGACACAGACTGCCTCCTCCCACCCCAAATCCAGCAGTTGATATGGCTTTAATCTGAAATTTCCTAATAAGTTAGTGTATTTAGTGAGATGAATTTTCAGAACACAGTGTAAAGTAAACAAAGGTGTGAAAGCCCAAGATATATTAAGAACAAATATCTCTTTTATAATAACAGATTTATTACAAAGTCTTGGGGGAACTTTGTTATGGATTTAGTCATCAAAAGAGTGCGAAAGCAAAGAGACAAAACTAACATTTGACTCCTACTATAGGCATTATATTTAAAATTCTCATTTGAGTCCTACAATTTGTTAAGGAGGAAATGTTGTCATTCTCTAGATGAGGCAACTGAGTCCAAGGATGAGAGATCTTGCTCTTGGCCACACAGCTAGGAAATGGAAGGGCAAGGTAGAATTCATATTTAGATCTACCTGAACCCCAAACTCTACCATTGCTCTCATGCCGTTAGAATGAACCTTCATACATTCAACTATAAGGAGCAGAATTTTTTGAGGAGCCATTCATTGCTAAGCTCTGAACTCCACCTCTATTTCTGCACAGAGACCACACCTCCCATAGCTGCTCCCAGAAAATGACAGCATGCCATGTAGCTGGTTGACGGGAGACTTGGCTCGAGGGCTACCCCAAGGCCCTGCTCAATCTCTCTTAGACTGTATGAAGACTAGGATGCTTTCACTCCTTTTTCTCTCTCCTTCATCAGGGCAGACTTGAATTGCAGTCTGAAAGCTCTCCCAGCCTTTTCTGGCTGCCTCCCATCTTTTCACACAGGTGTTTCCCCTAATAAAAACATAAGTGTCTGCTTCCTGGAGGACACTGACTAATTCAACTGCCAAAAGTCCCCAGAGACCCTGAACTTGCCTGGGGAAACCTGACTTGGTCATGAGGAAACCCTCAATAGACACACCAATCGTCAAAGGAAAACGCATCCATCCAATAATGATTCTTTCTTTGAAAACTGGTATTTTCTGGAACCTCCCCTATCAATCCTGCCATCCCAAGAATGTGTTAAACCGAGCGTATGTGACAACACCACCACCAACATCCAGAAACAGGTGACAGTCCAGCCCCTGGTAACAGCCCACTTTTGCACAACTCACCTGGTCCCGCTGTTTGATCCGTTTGTAAACATACTCAGCAAATGGTTTGCGAGGAATAAACTTCCCATCTCCTGCTGAGACACTGAAAACTCCAGCTTCATACACCACTTTGCCTCTGGAAATAGTCACGAGGGGCACCCCATGGCAAACCATGCCCTCGAAGATGTTGAAGTTAACAGCCTGATGATGTGTTCTTGCCGAAATAGTCCTGTTTATAAAAACAAGGACCCCCCACATCATCACCAGCTCATCTGACAAATATAAGATATTAAAAGAATGACTTTAGAAGAAAATTTAGCAACTCTATTAAGCCATATTAAGCTTTATTATTTGCACAAGCGACTTTAATAGAACATAGCATTAACATTTCATTACAAAGTAATTACATTTTCTGAGAAAAAACCCAATAGATCACCTCTTATGGTGATTAATAAGGATGAAGTGGGTGAAAGGAAGGTATTGTCTTTCATGTTTAGATTTTTAAATTTTTTACAACATGTATGAGTCTGATGAACATCCTGACCCGGTACCCAGCTCTACAGAATTTTATCTTTTTGCAGATGCATGTCAGTTTCTTCATTACCTCTCCCCAAATCCCATTCCTGTCCCTCCCTTTCCAGAGGGATTTGCTAATTGATAGTTACCAAATTGAATTTGGTTGTTATCAAGGAAAATTGTATCTTGAATTTCTTTCCATTGTCTGCAGCAAAACTGAAAATTTGAGGATAATAAAATAACAAAATACATTAGAATATAATCTCTTAGCAGGATCTATGTCATCCATTTGCAAATTCATCATCATTCTCAGTAGTTTATTAATACTTTCAATCTGACACAATATGATTGATGACTTCCAGGCTAGATCCTTGGAAATGCTGGATGTCTTCTTGTCCTAAATCTTATTTAGTGGAAAGGGGTGAGGGGAAGTGATCTGGCAGCAGTGACTAATATGAGCATAATCTGAATTCTGGTAGAAGTTTCTACAAGCCCTCCTCAGGAATGGACTGAAGAGAAGTACTTTGCTAAAAACCCCAAGACTGAGTCTGAGTCAAAGGAAGAGCAATCCAAAGCTCTCTCAACCCTAACCTAGAAGGATGGAGCTGGGAGATTCAGGCTTTTGTGTGCTGCCATCCTAGAAATGAACGAGACAATGCTGGCCTGGATCTTGGGTCCAGAATCCTACACCCAACTACCTACTTGGTTTACAACCCTAACACGTCCAAACAGAATTGATTTTTAATGGGTCCCACAACTCCCCCACTCGGGTTTATTCCTCCCTTGAGTTCCCCAACTCAGGAAATGATACCACTCTTTCTTTTCCACACCCCCCCCCACGCGGTCAAACTATCATCAAGCCTGTTGGTTCTATCTCCAGTAATAATAATAATAATAATAATAATAATAATAATAATAATAATAAATCCCAAACCTGCCCACTTCTGTTGCTCCCCATCGTTTCCACCCAAGTCCATGCCACCATCATCTGTCATCTGAGTGACTCCCAATACCTCTTATTGGCCTCTTTGTTCCCCTCTTACCTTCCTACACTCCTCACCACCAACCACAAAGAGAGGCTTTAGGAACCAACTTAAATGATACAAAGAAAAGTTGTAAAGGGGCACCTGGGGGGCACAGTTGGTTAAGTGTCCAACTCTTGGTTTCAGCTCAGGTCATGATCTCAGGGTCGTGAGATCAAGCCCTGCGTCAGGCTCCAGGCCCAATGCAGAGTCTGCTTAAGACTCTCTCTCCCTCCCTCTGCCCCTGCCCCACCTTGAATAAATAAATAAATCTTAAAAACAAAACAAAACAAAACAAAGAAAAGTTGAAAAGATCAAATGAATCAGAGGTAGGTACAAATATAGCAATAATAATTTCAAACACTAAGGAGGAGGGAAGGCTACTGATCAAATAGTAAGTCACTAAAGTAGGAAAATGAATAAAATATTTAACGGATTACTAAGAATAGAATGAGTTATGAGCTATGAGTTGGTGATGAGAGATACAAACTCAGAGAAAATAAATCTAAGGAACAACATAGAGGAGCTTCAGACCCGCACTTAAAGTGAGTTTTTACGACCACCACAGTCTCTTTCGGATACTTCTGTAGTCTGGGCTGTGGCTTTCCTAGCTACCACAGGCACACTGATAGCAGGAACTCTTGGGCTTGTTCTGTAAAATGTGACATAAACATGACTGTAAGGCCACTAGATAGAGAAAGGAAAATGCATCAAAATCCATGCTGAAGTGGTTATTCAATCCAAGAACGGGAGGCAAATAAGGGGAAACTCTAAATCATAAAATTCTATTTTTCCTGATGGGAAGTTAAGAATTACTGACGCTCTTAGGGAAATGATTTAACAGAAGAAATAAGCTCCATACACCAAGACTGTCATCATGATATTGCCTAAACTATTCAAAATCCGAAGCATAACAATTTCCTAATGACTATTCAATGGAATATCGGGCATCTAGGAAAGACTAGAATTAAGAATATGCTGGGGTGGGGCGCCTGGGTGGCTCAGTCGTTAAGTGTCTGCCTTCGGCTCAGGTCATGATCCCAGGGTCCTGGGATCGAGCCCCACATCGGGCTACCTGCTCCGCGGGAAGCCTGCTTCTCCCTCTCCCACTCCCCCTCCTTGTGTTCCCTCTCTCACTGTCTCTCTCTCTGTCAAATAAATAAATTTTTAAAAAATCTTAAAAAAAAAAAGAATATGCTGGGGAAGCAAAGAAAATGAAAACTGGATAATAATACACGGAAAAACATTATATACGAAGTATGTATATTATATCTACAGGGAAAATACATATGCGGGCAGACAAAAACAAAACGAAATACACACAGTGAAGTGTTTTTGTGGGCTAGGAATGAACGGATATGCAAAAAGACCCAAATAAGAAAGCTAAAGGTCTGTGACAGCAAAATGTCAAATCAGATTTCTCTGCCTTAGCCAAATAAAGGTCATGACCTTGACTTTCTCAGCCTTGGGGTTGCAAGAGAGAGAAGACAATTAGGCAACATCTAAGTGACTCTTTATAATAAAGCATTATGTAAATGAGGTCCAATTAGCACAAAATGTAAATTCCAGGCAGTATCACCAGCAGCAAAAAGAACGCGCTTGCACTTTCCCATTCAGAGGTGTCGGACTGAGCGCCTCTCCTCTCCCAGCCCTTGCCTTCCAGGCCCAGCTGCAATCCTACAGTTCTGTAGGAGCTTCTGCGCTTCTGGATCTTGGTGCATGAACTTGAGGAACTTTCACACTTCTGCATCTTGGTGCATGGAGTTTTCTTCACTCCAGATCCCCCCTCCCTGCTCATGTCCACCTTCCCTAAAACCCTGCTCAAGAGTCCTAGGGCCACGTTCTTAACATCTCAAAAAGCTGGGGGGAAAAGAGAATCCTGGCCCTGAGAAGCTGACTCCAATGGCCCTCTTTCTTCTGTGGGTTAGCACTATCTGAATGCTAAGTCATCTAGCGATCTCCAGATAAGTCCCTCTTTTCCTACTTGGTGCACACTTTAAGACTGAGGCCATGTTGTTTCATCCCCAGCACACAGTAGGTGCTTAATAAATATGTAGGAAATGAACAAAAAGAATCGCACGATTTTCCTTCTATATGTTTTATTTCCTGCCTCCTCTGTCCTCTAGGACCTGACTGCGTTTTGGAAATAGAACACTAAATTAAAGGAGAGGTAAACATCTAATCCCAGAGTTCCGTTGTATATTTGACATTTCTGGTGAGCTATACAAACTCAATACTAATACAGACAGACATAAATAAATAAAGTAAATTGTTATCATTATCATTCTTAATTGCATCTTATCAAGTTATATGAAATGCTTGTTCATCAATACCTAGCAATATTTAGCAATGCCGATATGATCAACACTAATACATACACAGGTAAGTATTATTACCCCGTGTCCCTGCTGATAATGCTAAAATAGAGCTGTGTGAGAGCTTGCCCAAGGATCACACAGTCTGAAAATGAATGAACCTCTGAGAGGTCAGAATAACTTTCACTTGAGAATCCTGGTATATTTGTAATCCTGCCATAAGAAGGTTAAAAAAATTGTGGTACATTTCAATATTTAATTGTTTTAAAGAAAAATAGAATGCAATATCATCACAAGATTTCTAAAATTACTACGAAATATATTTAAAATCTATTCGTTACCAGTGCAGTGTGGGAGATGTGGTCGGTTAATGGAATGAACACAAGTTCAAAGTCACACAATTGCCTTTGGAAGGATACCTGTTGTTCCTTTGAACATGCTCCATTAAAGGCAGAGGCCTTCTGTTAAGGCAAGAGGCAAGAACATGCTTTCCCACCCTCCTTCGAAGCTGGGGCCCAGTTATGGGATCTGGCCTCCTCCAAAATCATGTCCTCACACCAGTCTTTGCATGGCAAGCTGGCGACTCCGGATACAGGTATCACAAGAATCCATGTCAGTGGGGATGGAGATGGATAAATCTTGTTTTTAGGGCCAGCTGTGACAGAAGTTTAGCAGTGGGTCCGACCTTGCTTCCATGCTAACTGTGCCCAGGGACTGCACTGGGGCTCCCCGTTGCCCTGTGGTAGGCTCAGGGTATTGGTCCTGGCTGGATAGCCTCTCAGCCTGGTCCTCTGGTCCTTCTGGAGATTCTTCTGAGCCCCCCAGTGTCCTTTAACACATTCCCCTTTTGTTTACCTTGAGTAGATTTCTCTTGGTTACAGCTAAGAACCTTGCCTGATACATATTTTTCTTTTAATATTTGCAGTGTACCTCTGGGACTTTTAGAAAAATCTTTGGTGATAATCTCAAAGGTATAAAATTGAGGGCTTCTTTAAGCATGAAGCCTGAGTCCAACCACCCTTCAGGCCTGTCCCAGTGACAGGTCCTGAGCAGAGGGGAGCATTAAGCACGGTCTCTTCGCTGCCTGGATCAGGCCACTGTCATGCAGGACATAGGAGTGGACCCATCCTTCTCAGAACTTCATGGAAAAATAATGAAACATCCCCCTGGTTTTCCTAAGTTGCTCACAGGGGCTCCCTCAGATGCAGCACAGGCTCAGGTATAAAGCCAAGGTCAGACTCCTAACACCCCCCCCACCCCCCACCCCCGCAGAGCCAGTGGGCCCCATGTCACCTGATGAGCTGGCAATGCTTTGAACACTGAGACACCATTTTGGAAGAAAGCAAGAACGCCCCTACCCAGACTCTATTTTTTTTTTT